CATCTTAGCTAGCGCATCTGTATTGCGTGCAGTGTTGCTAGCTTAGCGCTACTTCTTCTTGTGCTGTGCTCTCTAAAATATTTATTGAATCAAGTGATTACTTATGTAGGTTTAAAAACTCTTTAAAATACATCAGAATGCAGGAAATGGCATCTACTTCATTCACAAATTTCTGGGGAGAACCCCCAGACCCCCCCACCAGTGTGTTCCCCTCCAAATTTTGAATGTTTCTGATGCCATTGGCCACTGCATTGTTCAAGTCCAGACCCACTGTCAGCACTGCATGGGGGCTGAGCACCTCTAAAGATCAAAATATAGAATTGCCCCTGGTTCTGGGTAGGTAATCTCATTTCCAAGAAGCGTTGAAAAGCCACAAATAAACATAAAACATAATCACAAACACCTGTGTACCGTAAATTATGAAAACTCTTTTGCCGTTAATTGTTTTACAAAGTTACAAAAGAATAAAATGTTCTACGAAGCCTCTCACATGCATAAAGTTTAGCTCAGTGCAACTCCCGCTCACTTTTGCATTAATTTATTACAAAAACATGTGTAATTCATAGGTTGCGTCTAACATTAATGAATGAACAGGCCATCCTTCGTTCTACTTCCATCTTTACCTCCCATTCTTAACCTTTGTGGGCGTGCACTGAGCTGACTTCACTCACCATGTCACTCCTCTTCCTCCCGACAAAGAGAACAATGTGCCAAATACAATATATTTATGCCTCACTACTTTTTAAAGGGCTGTCTCTGACACATATTTCATGAAATTCCTCTTTTTTGATGCTGCAGAATGGGGAATCCCATACGCAGAACATATTTACATCTGTTTGTGTTTTTAAACATGGATGTCAGAAGACGTGTTCCCTCTGCAAACAAGGAAATGCACCAGGATTTATAGATACACAGAGTTTGCTACATCTGGATTGTTTTGTGTGTACAGTATAAAATCCTCATAAATTTTATGAGGGCCCAGCTCTTAAAATAAAACTACTTAAAACAACGAAGAACAATTTAAGAATCCCTGCAGAAGCTGGAGTGGATGGTACTTTACATTTGTGCTTATATTTAAGCAGCACTTACTAAATCTTTATAAGAGCTGCTCAAAGATGGTCTCACAATTTACATATTTTATACCTCAGACAAAGACAATGAAGTGCTAGTCTTTGTGTGTGCGCGCGCACATGCACGTGTGTTCTATTACAATGTCAAGGTCTAACTCTGCCATCACTTTGTCACGCCAGGCTCATGGGAAAAAAGTCTGATCATTGAAGTCCTTGAGCTGGTCGGAGCTCACGCAGATCCTACTCTGTAGCACACATACGCTGACATTCAACCTATTTTATCATTTTATTAGGTTCACTTAACTGGGGAGTGGTGGAGCAGAGGTTAGAGAAGGCGAGCTTGTGATCAGAAGGTCGCCGGTTTGACTCTCCAGACTGAAAACATCCTGAAGAAGGGAGCAGCCAAAAGAAGAACATAAAATTAGGATCTATTTTGATGAGTGTGAGTTAGCCAGGGGTGATTTTAGTCTCTTTTTTGGGGGTGCTGAAGCACCCTTAAATTTTAACTGAGCACCCCTAAAAAAAATGAAACCATCATTAGGATTTTACAAATTCTCCTCCTCCACCATAACCCTCAGCACTGGCTCCCCTCAGGGCTGTGTGTTGAGCCCCCACCTTTTCACTCTGCTCACATATGACTGCACACCTACCCATCCAGGCTGTCATATTGTAAAGTTTGCAGACGATACAGCGGTGGTGGGATGCACAAACAGTGATGAGTCCGGCTACAGGCAGGAGGTGGAACATCTGGAGAGCTGGTGCAGGAAGAAGAACCTTCTAAGCACAGTATAATCATTACAAAAATGTAGACTACACCATCGCACCACATCAATGTGAAGAAGACAATGGCGTTAATTGTGGATTTCAGAAGGAGCAACACCCCCCACCCCCCACCCCCCGAACAAAGGAGGATCTGCAATGGAAGTGGTCTCCAGTTACAAGTACTTGGGTGTTAAGGATTCACTATACTCGTGCGGACCTTTTTCTGCACGGACTCGATGTGCACTGTCCACAGAGGGTTAAGACTTCATACTAGAGCATCCACCCTGAGCGGCTGCAGACCAGCTCCGCAGACAAGGGACATTTACCTTCGGGACAAATTCAGGTTGCCGACTGGTCATTTACTGACATGTCTACTGGATTGATTGACAGGTCGCAAAAAAACAAAGAGAGCTGGCAGCCCCAGCCGCAGCGGTGTTCTGTGTTTATATGTTGTTAATATAAAGTTCTAAAAAAAAACAGGGAGCGCTGGCCCTGCATCCCACACATCAGACCAGCCCACCAGGAACTCTCCAGACCCTCCTGCAGCCATGCTGGACCTGATTTTAATTCGCTCGTGACAAATTCCTTCATTTCTCACCATTTCAGTCATGGTGTCAACGAAGGAAGAAGAGATTGCTTGCATCTTGGCCTAAAAAACAAAAGAAAATGCCAGATCAGGGATGAAGAAGGAGAATTTAATACATTGATGTTGCATACAAAACAGTCCATCGCCGGGCAGTTTATTGTGCAACACCGAGTACGCATATGCAAAAATTGAGCTTTGCACGGACATGCCCTGCAGGCGTCCGCTTTGACTCTAATCCGGTCTGCGCGGACCTCTGCGGACTGACGTACGCCCGAGTATACTGGAGGCTTTACATTTCAAATGCGTCTAACGCCAATGGCCACCGCACTGTTCAAGCCAAGAGCCACAGTCAACACTGGGGGCTAAGCACCCCTAAGGGGTAGATTCTAGAATTGCTCCTTAGCCATCTTGAATTGAAATGACTTCAAAAGTTGATCAGTTGTAGATTTAAATTCAATTAATGTTTTCTGAAAGTTTAAATAAAATCCAGTGGTTTGTATATAATATGTTCTGCAAAAGGATAAACTGAGGTTGATGCTAAGGTTTTAAACAAAGCTCTCGTGCTAAGAGTATCAGAGTATTAGTTGTAAAACACCCACAACTACTACCACATCAATTTTTAGATCATTATTTGTAAAATTGACTGAGTTTATGCGTTACGATGTTTGTACTATACTACGCTAGTATTTTCAATGGTCAGTTGGCTGTGGCAGCCATCTTGAATTTGGTGTGCTTCAACATGGTAATTAGTTGTAGATGTTCATTCAGTGACTGTTTCCTGAGTGTTTCATTTAAATCCATCCAGTGCTTCATGAGATATTTTGCAAACAGACTCAACAAGTTGATATAAATTTTAAATGAAGATCCTGCACTATTTATTAGCGCTCAGAAAGTGTGTTAGTAATAAGTCTTGGTTACTACTACATAATGAATGCATTGATCGTCTGCCTTCACCGTTCCAAGGCGACAAAATGATTACAGTTAGAAACAGAAACAAGTTATGTAAGAAATTAATTCCCTTCCATCATGATTCATGTGATCAATGGTGCATTATATTCTACAACTGTGAGGATTTGGGCTTCCTCACTAGTTCTTGTGCACATTTTTTTGTGTTTTCCTTTTGAGATATTACCTGGTTCTGTTTTCTTCCCGTATCCTCTCCTCAGTTTGAATAGGACACACCTGTCCCTGGTTTCTTTCCCCACGTGTTCCCTGTCCCCCTCATTAGTTGTTCTATGTTAGCGTGTTTTCTCCTTCAGTTCCCGTTGGTGTATTGTACGTTATTGCTCGTTATGGTTCCTCTTTGCGCCTCCAAGCGACTCCCACCTCCTTTTCCAGGCGATCAGTAAGATGTGTTCAAAGAAATAAACTTTGGTTACCCTGATGCATGCTCAATAATCCAGGTAGAAAAATCTAACAAGTTAAGTCAGGTCCTCTGGAGGTCAACAACAAACTGGTTGATCCATTATGAGAAGGTGCTATTTATAAGACTGAGCTTAATACAGCTCCTCAGACTGAAGAAGTCTTTCAGATGAAAGATGAAACGTTTCTACAATTTTTAATTCTTTTACTGTACTGAACCCATCCAGAGGACCTGACTTAACTTTTTAAACTTTGGTTGCCATTTTGAATCCAGTGTGTCAGAGTCTGCATCCTGAGTTGCACCCAGCCATTATTTATTTCCATCCATCCATCCATCCATCCATCCATCCATCCATCCATCCATCCATCCATCCATCCATCCATC